TGCAGCGCTCCGGCCTTCCTCTCGCTCCTCCTCGGTCAACAGCGGCGCCCGCAGCCTCCTCCCGGCACTGCAGGCACCGAGCGCTGCCGAGCGCTGCCCGCCCTGCCTTGCCCACGCACAGCTCGCGCCCACGCCACACTCGCCACGGAGACCTCGGTTCCTGCCCGGCGCTCATGTCCTGCGCTGCCTTTTCTCCAGCCGAGCTCTTCTTTGATCCCTGAGCTGGTCACGACCAGGAGGAAGAGGGCAGAGGCTTCCCGTGGCCGTGGGGTTTCTACCGCATGGGAAAAGTTATATTAAATGGTGCCTTAATACAGATATACAATGCTGATGGCGATGTATATAAAGTAAGTTTTTCTGTATGTAAAGTACTATTTCTCTGTACGTTAATTCTATCTTATTTTATTGTGTAGAATATTATTAGTCATATCCCATTAGTCGAAAGGAATAATGAACAACACGCATTTCTGTAGCCGTTGTTCTGGAATGACTTATATCAGGATAGCAAAAGAAAACAGGCTATGAGATACTAAAGGTGACAATCAGACACACACCTTCGCCCCACGGACAACCTGAGGATCACGCTGATTAACCCAAGCGGCAGGAACTTTTCTTTAAATACTTCATTTCATACGGAAGAAAATCTAAATGAAGTACTCCACCACCAATGACTGAGATGAGACATTGAAAGGCAGAAGAAGGTGGTGTCAGTCCACTGAAACTGGGACACGAATCCTCTAAGCCCGTTCAGCTGCTGAAGAGGTGGGGCTGCTCAGGCACCTGCCTTGGACTCGGGGATTTCTCCCCAGGAGACCTTCCTGGGAACACAGCAGAGGAGGAGGCTCCGCTACTGCTCCAAAATCATTCTCTCCCACCCACCCCCTGTGACAACTGATAAGGACTAGCATGGTAACCTTAAAGAGCCACAGTTGTAATTAAGGTACTAAGACAGGTGCAAAACGAAAGAAAACTGCTGATCAAAGGAAGACTACTTGAGCTCTGAGTGAACTATCCTAATTAGCACCATAACAAAAAGAGCCCTCGAGTAGTGAAAGCCCGCTACCAAGAAAAACCCCTTCTCCATGGAACATGCGCAGCAGAAAAGAGTAATACTCCGACTTCACAGGGAAACGAGACATGTAAGGACCAATGGGAAAGAGGGTGTTTTAGCGAAAATGGAAAAGTACTGGTAACTGTTGCTCGAAATGTGTAAATATTTACCGCGAATTAGCCAAAGTGTGCTAGCTTTATGGAGTCATCACCTCCCACCTATCTCTGCGCAGGCGTGAAATAAACGCAAAACGTCCATCACAGCAAACAAAACATGCAAAAAAGGAATAGGAG